ATCTTTGAAATAGATAGTCTGTATTCTTAAAAGTGCGAAAATATTTTAAAGATCAATTCACCCCCCTCTTGATCTCAACCTACTTTTCTAACACCATTTTCACGAATAAATTACAAAAACTTCTTAACTCGATTTTGGTACTCTTCACTAATATAACATGCATTCATCAAACTCCAGTCCATAATTACCTATGTTACAAATTTCATCACCCTTATAGACTCAAACACATATTCATATTTACAAAAAAAATTAATATATAGAATACAAAAAGCATGGGACTCAAAGATATAAATCATAGAGACATAATAATGTATTGTAATAAATCGTACGACAACCACAAATAATAAAAGTTCAATTTCAATAACAATGCAGTGGAGACATTCATACAATATCATGATTGAGATCCCAAAAAAATCACGAGTTCAATTTAAACATAAAATAAGAGACATATAATACTAACCTCAAAGATACAAAATACCTTAAAACTCAAATCCAATTGGAGAGATATATCAACTACCACAAGTGGGTCACAATATAGGTGTTGTCGCCGCTCACTATGGTCGAAAAACACTATTGAAGGTATTCCAGTAGTTATTTTCGTCGTCTACTAAAAAACCTTCGCACACATGAGGAAGAAGAACCCTAAGAGAAATAAAATGTGATTTTTACGTCAGCCACAATGTGGACGTAAAATCTCACATTATTATTTTTAAAAATGTCACCACAATTTTTTTAAGTCAATTATTTTATAGTTTGACAAAAAAGAAATGATGCAAAAAGCTTGTTTTACACTAGCGTAATCGATACCGTTAATGATAAAGTACGTCAAGTAGACCATTAAGTGATGTGTATACTAATGCTTTTGATTTTAATTACTTAAAAAAATAATTTTATAAAAAATGATGATTAATTATAAATATTTACTATCAAAGTTTTTAGGTTATTGTTAACTCGCTTGAGCTTGAACAAAATATTTTTATTTAAAACAACCCCCTTATTTTTTATTATTACCAAGGACCCCATCTCCTTTATATTATATTAAAACAACCCCCTTATTTTTTATTATTACCTAGGACCCCATCTCCTTTATATTATATTTTTATTATTTATTATATTTTTAAAAGGAAATTATCATTGACAAGATTTGAATCCAAGTACCTCAAAGTTGAAGGTCGATACTTCAACCACTAAGTTATTAGAATATTTTGATAATAACTTACAAATAAATTATATTTATATTTATCCGTGTAAATATATAAATATAAAATATATACATATAAAATATATAAATACAAAATATATAAATACAAATATATTTATATATTGATATATTTATATATTTATATATTTATATATTTATATATTTATATATTTATATATTTATATATTTATATATTTATATATTTATATATTTATATATTTATATATTTATATATTTATATATTTATATATTTTATATTTTATATTTTTATATTTTTATATTTTATATTTTATATTTTATATTTATATAATTACACTAATAAATATAAATATAATTTATTTGTAAGTTATTATTAGAATATCCTAATAGTTTAGTGCTTGGAGTATCGGTTTTCAATTTTAAAGTACTGGGTTTGATTATTACGAGTGACAATTCTTTTAATTTAATATAATTTACCTACGGATAATAATTCTATAGGTAATTACCTACGGAATTTCTCACAGAAAACATTACCTATAGATAATATCCGTAGGTAATGTACAATTTACCTATAGATTTTTATTTGTAGGTAATATTTTATAGATAATAGATTTTTTTTTGTAGTGATTGATTCCACTTAAATTAACACATAAAAGTATATATATTACTCAATGATCCATATCACATAAAACTAATAATCTTTTTAACCTGATTATTAAAAACTTAATAGAATAAGTGATAATGTATAAACAAAAATTATACTAAATACAAATATTTATCATAATTATTGTAAGAAAAACATATTTTACCCTTTCCTATATATTAAGATAAAAATCTAAATAAATATATTTCTAGTATCTCCGAAACTCATTCTATTTCTTGATATTATACTAGTTCATATTGCATTTTGGTGAGCCTTTATCCCTTTAGGTATAATGTCCAAGTTCATTCAATTTTATTTTTTTTCTCTCGAAAAGTCATACTCTACCAATCACCTGCTAGGTCTCATTGTCAGATTTAGCCATTAGACAACTGGTTCAACCTAGTCAATTCCTAGCCCCTTCTTAGATTTGATGTTCATAAATATCAGAGAGATATTATTTTACTAACTTGGTTTAGTTAGTTTTGTTTCTATACACAGCACAAAAATAAAACTCGGAAGAATCTGGTATCAGAAGCTACAGATAATATGTGTAGCTAGTTAGGGTAAAAAGGTTTAAATGTAGGTTTGCCAAGTTCATCGGAATTTCATTATTGTTTATTTATTACCCTGTAATGAATAAAATACACTATGCACCTAGCAATTTAGGGTTATCAAGTAACCAATGGATGCGGAAAAGGAAGTAGAAGTACATATGTGAAGTGGGCAAACAGGTCACTTTGTGTCTGGTTTGCTTGGTAAATACCATGTGAGTGGATACGAATGAGCTCACTCCGCAGTTTCGCCTTCTATCCCTACGTTTGGATGACTGAAGAGACAAAAGAAAGACACTTCAATTCCTTTACTTTATATATGCAGCTAAGGAATTTACATATAACTAGATAACATATCATGCACTGTACATAAAAAAAAAAAAACATAAGAATGAGATAGTGAATAGAAAAAATTGGAAAAAGTATGGTTTTGGTTGTGTAAGTCTTGATAAATTTGATTTTATCCTGATCAATTCAATTTTCTAATTTTTAATATTTTTTATATGTAATTTAATATTTAGTTATGATTTTTCATCTTAATAGAATAAATGAATAAAACTATATATAATTTTAATATATTTATATATACTATATATTTAATTCAATATAATTTTAATTTTAATAGTATCTAATAACATTTTTTTCAAAGTTATAAAATTGATTAAAGGATTAAATTTATATTTTTTAAGTTTAAGGACTGATTTATTAATTTTTAAATATAAAAAATGAAATTAATTTTCAGAAAATATAAAGATTAAAACATATTTAATTTGTATATAAGAATTACGAAACTATTCACATAGATAATATTAAATTTGTTGATTTGATCTAATCTAAATCAATTGAAAGGATCTAACAATGTAGATATGATAGGGTGAATTAATTTATATTTTAAATAGATTCAATTTTTTATTATATTTTAGGTAAAATTTATATTAGATTAACGAGTCGTTTTTATCTATTTTAAACTTGAAAAATAAAAATATTGATATATATTTTTAAAATCTAACTCACATTAATGAAATCAAAATTAATTATTAGAAATAATAATTTAATACTTAAATTAAAATATATGCATATATTTTAATCAAATAATATATTTTTTTAAAATATAATTGTTATTTTAAATAGAGACCCATAAATCTACAATCGATTTAGTTAAAAAATTCATATATATGCGTAAAGAACAAAGAGGTTTGAAAAAAAAATGTTTAGTTTAATTTATATTACAATTTTTTTATATGGACAGACTTGTTATCGGGTTTTTTTTTATTTTCTTATCAAAATATATCTATTTTGTCATTTTTTTATTATTAGTGTATAATTTTTATAGTAGTACTCATTATCAATGAGTAGAAAAGATAATATTGTAAATAGTGTGATATGATTGGTCAATAAGGGTCTCTTAACTATATGATTAAGAATTAATTAATCTCCAGGTTTACATGAAAAGAAAACATATATATATATATACTGAAAAAAAAAACTTGAATGAGTTATCTGACATTATATATTAAGATATTAGTTTTTAACTTCAAATAAGAGATATTATTCTCTGGTGAGAAATAGACACTCTACACTTTTTATGTGATAAAGTCATCTTTGGCTTCAAATCTGGGCAAAAGATATCTTACTAGAACTAAACCTTCGAATAACTAAATCATTTGTCATGCTAAATTTTGTTTCTGTATCCTGCAGCAAACCAAAATACTGAAGAAAATTTACCTTACAATTAATTAACGAGTTCAAACGCATCCATATATGTTTGAAAAGCTGCAAGATTAAAAGGGGAAGATGAACAGCGTTTTCTAAGCTTACATTGTAAAGAATGGAAGAAATACTGAATGATTATCTGGTCTAGTTATAATATTATAATTTCCAACAAAATAAAGGACGATACTTTCGAAGGTATCATGTTGATCCTAAACGTCTGAAAAACTTTTAATCTGCATGTTATATTCCAAGCTGCAATCTTGTATATGCTTTGACTATGTAGTAAGAGGCAACTTGCAAAAATATGTTTGCTTCTGCATTTTGATCCAAAACAGATTCACACCCATTAGAAGCTAAGTAATTTTTGTATACTTCAATTATTAGACGTGATGATGAGAGAGTACTTGGTCCAGTTTACAAATTCATTCCAAAAACGCATATAGTTGAGTCAGCAAATAAAAAATGAAGTTTGGAATTTGTGAATTGATATCCTTGAAGCTTGCACTGGAAAGTTGCTAAATATTGAACATGTGGACAGTATTTAACATCAAATATACATGATGAAGAATTGAAGAAAATTACATAAACCTTACAACTCAATTTTTATTTTTATTTTTTTAATGAAGAGTTATAGTTATAAGAACGTTTAATTTCCAAAACTCTCTCATGGAATAATTCAGCCCTACGACACATAACATAATTTTATCCAACACCACGTACGATTTTTCACCAAACACATAGAAAGTTACAGCTATTACATGTTATCTGCTGCAAATTAATTTTCCTTAAAAAAACTCATTAGAGTTAATAAAAAAAGATAACATTTTCTGCAAGCTATTTGAAGCCACATTATGGGCCCCCACGTAAGATATTTTATTCAGTACATATTGGTTGCATTCTACTAGCAGCCATATTAGCGTCTTCTTGCAGCAGTTTCCCTCTGCGCATTGAAGTAGACAACAGCAACAGGGAGACCAAGGTCGTTCTCAGATGAGAATTTTCGAGTGTTGAAATGATCCCTTGAGGAAGGTGGACTAACACATTGCCTACGTTTTTGCTTGAACAGGACAAACACAAACCTGTGTATCCCTATGTTAGGCTTTGGCATTTCATAGCTCACCAACACATTTCCTACCCAAAAGTGAGGGGTGCAGAATATTGATTAAGTAATATAATGCATTTTTATTTTTAGTAGATCTTAAATAAATAGAAGTTACCAAATGAGGCATTTGTGGTGCCTGGAATATCTGTCATCCTGCAAAAGGCCACAAATTCAACAATTTAAATAGTCTAGGCTGAGACCTGAGAATTGCTTTGCTTTGCACAGTAGTATATATATTTATAACTATACATATACACAGTAAAATCAGGTCATTGGTTAGAATTTAGAACTTGCAACCCTTCTTCAAAAGCAATTTGGTGCATAGAATTGATTTTCAAAAAAATATATAATTATATATACATGTTTATTCAAATATATATCATTCTGGAATATAACAAATTTTTTTAACATAAATTTTACCAACGTCTATATACCAAATTCAGAATTCATTGCTTGAGACCTCCGAATGATTTAGTTCCTAACATTAATTTTTCTAAGCTTACTGATTCATACTTTTTCCTTCTCCGTTCAGAATTGGTTTGGTTTCCAAGTAATATATAATGATACAGATTATTCAACCAACATATCAAGCGAAATATAAATGGTTAATCTTCAAGCAATATCTATTGAAGTACCAATGCAAATGTTCTCTCAGATAAGGATCACTAGGGCCAGGGACATCCGGGTCTGTCATGATCTACAAAAGAGAAAACGAGACATTTATTTCAAATGATTGAAGTTTTTTTATGCTACATGATTGGAGTTTCGTAAGAAGTACTTCGTATTCTTACAGAACATTCATTATATATATATATATATATATATATATATATATATATATATATATATATATATATATATATATATATATATATATAACACGGCATACCAAGTTCTTTTCTATCCAATAAAATAAAGACGAAAAGGAGATTAAGGGGTTATAACAAATATATATATATATATATATATATATATACCAGTGTAAAGAAGGACCTCATATCTCCACCAATCTCAACCCTGGGCCATGTGGTAACTGTGGAAGGGAAGAGTTCATGGCCATTATAGACTTGCTTCTTACTGTAGGTTACAGTCATTTTTATGGTTGGAATGAAAGAATCAAGGACATCTCCTATGACTCTCCCAATAACCAGTGGATCTGTCGACACCCTTGCCATTATAACAGCAACAAGGAAAAGGATGAGAGAAGAGTGGAAGAAACTAAAAATATAACTTGCTTACTGGTGAAGGAAATGGGAGCATGAACTACATATTTATAGCCTCTTCGAGGCAACTATTGAGATAGGTTTCATTTCTCTTTTTAACAAAAATACATGTTTTTGTTGTTTATATTTTAACTTAACTGTTGCAATATTTCTCATTTTTTTATTATACCTTAATTAATCATGCATTTACGTGACATTGATGTCGTCAATTAAGTCTAAACCTTATCATTTTGAACGTAGAGGACTGGAATAAAAGTTACGGTAAATATAAATGAATAAATTGGTAATTTTATTCACACACACAAAAATGAGGTTATTCTTTTCCATTTCGTTCTTGTTTTAACTCTGAAAATTGATCTCACGATTAATGTGGGTCTATAGTTATAGTTTGCTAGGACTACTATCATTTTCTCCTATTCTCCCTACTATTTCTATTTATTGTTACCTATAAAAATGTTGCATAGCACATTCTTTATTTCCCACAATATTCAAGAAGAGTCATACGTTACCATATCTTGGTAAGAATTTTAAGTTACAAACTTTATATAAGAGAAATTAAAATCTCATCGTAAAAAAGGGTTTTCAATTTAAAGCATAAATTTATTTTATATGGACAAAATGTTTTTTTCTTTCTAAGTTAAATCATTCCATACACTTGTATAAAATGATGTTTTTACCTCTGTTATTTTGATTTTTTTATGTTAAACACAAGTTTGACGTTAATATGAGAGATATAAATTTACATTTGTGTCCTTTTTTTAATATTCGATTTGTTTTGTCTTACAATCAGTCTATATTCCAGTTTTTCAATATATAATAATTCAAAGCTAAATTAGTAAAAAGACTAAGCTACTTAAAAGGTAAACTAATACAAAGTCTAAACTAGTACACAAACTAAAGTTACAATGTCAAACTACATAATACAATATAAACAATAACCTATAAACTAAGTATTAGAAATATTGAACTAAAAATCTTGAAATACCTGATAATGAAGATGGATGGATCTTGAAATACCTGAAACATTAATTTAACTCCTGTTAACATGCAATACGCATAAAGATGGATAAACTTAACAAATGTTGAAAACAATTATCTCCGTCCAAAAATCAGTTATTGAAGCACTTGTTAGATTTGATGAAGACATATGAAGTATCCTTATTCCGTTTGTGTGTGTGTGAGTAGATAGGTTATAGGTACAAAATTTAATCTCTTGATACTTATAAAATATCTTGTGATAGCGCCTATAATTGTTGCATATCATAGAATTTATCATACATCATAAAAATCCAACCTTTAAGCTTTGAAAGAACAAACTGAGTTTTTTTAATCACTTAAAAAGTAGTTTTAATATGATAAAATCACTTAAAATAAAAAATGTATATGTACAGCCGACATTTTAATTGATTAAGCCGTAAAATCAACATATTAAAATGTTCATGATGATTTTTCCATGTTAAGGGTTTCGCAGTATTAATCTGTTAAATTGACATGTCACCGCCGTCAGAAGAGGCAGTCAGAGTGACGCGATGGTTTCGATTGACTCGTGTTTTTTGAAAGAAGTGGTTTAACGCCTTTAGATTGTCCGATAACCGGGCTGGACCTAAAGGCGAGATTTTCGAAAAGGTTCGAGGATTCGCCATCAGTGTTTTAACCTTAAACACTGAAAAAAGTAAAAAAGAAGAAGAAGGCAATGGTTTTAGAAAAAACCAACTTTGGTCATTACAACCAAAGTCGGGTAAGGGAGTTAGTTAGATGTGGGAAAGGTGTTAGCACCCCACAATGCCCCTTTCGGGTTCCCTATGATGGACTAGTTTAGAAAAATAAATACTTAAAGAAATTACGCTTTTACCCTATTATTCTATCTACTCTGGAATAATGCTCAGAGTCACTCTAAAGTGCCAAAAGGCTTCCTAGAGAGTAGTAGGAGTGAAAAGATGTGAAATTTTGAGGAATGGGGGCTCATATTTATAGGGAACCGGATCAGGAAAAAGTGGACGGTCGTCTGGACTTAGTGGACGGCCGTCCATAGCCATAAAGTTGGCATGGACGACCATCTGACTGTCATGGATGAGCATCTACTGTCTCTGGCAGATTTTCCAATTTTTATTACCTCTAAAAACCATTTCTATCTTAAATGGAACCTAGAAAAAGCTACTAGGGACTTAATAAAGTCTTGACCATCTTCAAAACAGGCGATCTTTGGCTTTATTGGAGAGTCGGGTAAGATTTGGGGTCTACATGAAAAATCAACAGATTAAAATGTTCTAAGTCATAATTCATGTTTTAAGTACCTCAGGTGTTTTAATCTGTTAAAATGAGTTTTAATCTGTTAAAACACAGAACTACCATTTTTTCTTCTAGCAATTTTAATCCATTAAAAGATCAAATTAACCGATTAAAATAGTTTTAAATAAAATCAATCGATGAAAGTATCATTTTAATCGATTAAAACTGTCAATTTTTATCTTTTTCTCTATAAATACAGTTTTGATTTCTCTTTTATAACACACAATTTGAAAATTGATTAAAACAATCTTTGAGCTCTGGTATTCTTGTTTTTTCTCTGAGCACTCATACACATTCATATCATAAGGCGCTTTGATCAAGATGGTTGAAAGAACTTCAAGAGAGGAAGTTTTGTGTTAGAAAATTTGTTTTTGGACTTTTGTATTACAATAGCTACTGTCCAGGTTTATCTTTTCAATACTCTGTACCAATTTTGATTGTGTAGATTGTGTTTGAATCTACACTGGTTACAGCGACTGGGTTTGGTTGGTGGGTGTTTTTTTTTCAAGAGTCTATCTTGTGGTGTTGCAAGGTAGATTTTGGGGTAGATTGGTTTGTATCTACTGCTTTGTATCTTCACTTGTTTTTAGTGGAACTTGACAAGTTTGTCAAGAACTGGATGTAGCTCTTGCAAAGAGTGAACTAGTATAAAACCTCTTCTGTTGTATTTCTGCATTTTTCTCTTTTCATTCCTGTTTTATATTCTTGCTTTGTTAAAAACCGAATCTGCCTAATAAAGATTGAATAAAGATTACTCATTCTTTCAAAGGAAACACTACAAAAAAAAAGTCTATTATCTACAAAATATTATCTACGGATAAAAATCTGTAGGTAAATTTTACATTACCTACGGATAAAAATCCGTAGGTAATTACCTATGAAATTACTATCCGTAGGTAAATTATATTTAATTATATGTAAGTTATCCATTACCTACGGATATTATCCGTAGGTAATTACCTACGAAATTACTATCCGTAGGTAAATTATTTTAAACCCTAAAAGAATTGTCACTAGCAAGAATCGAACCCAATACCTTAAAGTTGAAAACAAATACTCTAACCACTAAACTATTAGGATATTCTAATAATAGTTTACAAATAAATTATACTTATATTTATTCGTGTAAATATATAAATATAAATATATAAATATATAAATATATAAATATATAAATATATAAATATATAAATACATAAATATATAAATACATAAATATATAAATACATAAATATATAAATATAAATATAAATAGATAAATATATCAAAATATAAATATATCAAAATATAAATATAGTTTATATTTACATATTTTATATTTATATATATTTTATATTTATATATTTACACGGATAAATATAAATATAATTTATTTGTAAGTTATTATCAAAATATCCTAATAGCTTTGTGGTTGGAGTATATAGCCTCCAACTCGAGATACTTGGGTTCGAATCTTGCCAATGACAATTCCCTTAATCTAATAATAATTCAAAATTCCAAAAATATAATAAATAATAAAAATATAATATAAAGGGGAGGGGGTTGTAGTAAATAAAAATATTTTGTTTAGGTGAGTGCATTACCTACGGATTATAATCCGTAGGTAATGCACTTGCTGGAATTACCTACGGATTTTTGTCATTACCTACGGATTTTACCCGTAGATAATAAGCGTTTTTTTTGTAGTGAAAAACATTAATTGAAAAAGGTTTCAAAGTTTAATTCACCCCCCCTCTTAAACTCAACCATTAATTCTTACAATTGGTATCAGAGCTGGTTCTTGTAAGTTACTCAAGAATTTGTTCCAAGAAAGTTTAAATGGCTAAGGAAAGGATAACTTTTTTCTGAAGGAGCCTCCATCAACAGGCATCCTCTATATTTCTGGTGTGAATTATCCCTTCTGGAAGGTTAGAATGAAAGTCTTTATTGAATCTCTTAATAGGGGTATTTGGGATATAATTGTTAATGGTCCTTTCAAACCAACTCATATAGTGGATGGTAAAATTATTGAAAAAGATTGGGCTGACATAACTGATACAGAAAATAGGAGAGTTCAATATTGTTAACCATACAAGGATATGAAGTTTGCAGATTTTCACTACAAAAAAAACGCTTATTATCTACGGGTAAAATTCGTAGGTAATGACAAAAATCCGTAGGTAATGTCACTTTACCTACGGATTTCTTTCCGTAGAAAATCCGTAGGTAATTTGGTCGTAGGTAATTACCTACGGATTTATAATCCGTAGGTAATGCACTCGCGGTAATTACCTACGGATTTATAATCCGTAGGTAATGCACTCGCTGGAATTACCTACGGATTATAATCCGTAGGTAATGCACTCACCTTAACAAAACAAAATATTTTTATTTATTACAACCCCTCCCTTATTTTTTATTATTACCTAGAACCCCTCCCCTTTATATTATATTTTTATTATTTATTATATTTTCGAAACTTTGAATTATTATTAGATTAAGGGAATTGTCATTGGCGGGATTCGAACCCGATACCTGCGAGTTGGAGGCGATACTCCAACCACTAAGCTATTAGGATATTTTGAAAATAATTTACAAATAAATTATATTTATATTTATCCAGTCTAAATATATAAATATAAAATATATATAAATATAAAATATATAAATATAAAATATATATA